AGAAGTTTGCAATGAGTTCAGGGACAGTTACTCTGAGAAAATGACATGTGCAGCAAGAGCTGAAGAAATGAAGACTGAATCCTGGATCTGCCAAATGTGGGAAGTCTAGAGAGGGAGATGGCATGAAGGTGGGCAGGCAGGGCCGAGGGACAGATGACCACCCCTCAATGGCTGCAGTCCGGGAGGGCCAGGGAGACTCTTCTACCTCAGCCACACCCAGGGGTCGCCCATCATGTAAAGACCACACAGCGTGGATCTTTTACTCTTCTCATGTGTATGCTGCTCACATGGTTGAATTTGCTTCATGTCAAAAATATATATATGATGGATCCTATTGCTATGCTTCAAGGAATGGCTGCAAGATTTTAAAATAAACATTTCTCGTGAGGCTACAACCAAAAGAAATGAGAGCCTGTGTTCACCAAGACATAGACAAGAATGCTCACATTCTTGGCCCCGACCTGGAAACAACCCACATATCTGCTCACAGGAAATGGATGCGTAAAGGGTGATAGAGGCAGGTTGTTGAATACTATACAACAACGAAAAAGAAATAAATTATCGTTATTTACAACAACATGGGAAATCTCAGCCATAGCAGTGTGCCAAAATGCCAGACACTAAAGAACTCACTATTATATAAAGTTCAAGTACAGGCCAAACTAATCAATGATACTAATCGATGACAGTGGTTACTTTTGGAGAGCAGGTATTCTTTGGAAGGGGGCACAGGGGAGCCTACTGGGGACAGGAAATGTTCTCTGTTGTCATTTGGGTCCTAGATAGATAGGTATGTTCATAAATGAAAACACATTGCAACTGGCACTTAGGATTGCTCCCTTTTCTGTGTGGTTATACCACTAAGAAAGGAAAATGAATTATTATTTAAATTATAATTTTTCAATTATAACAGACTGTAGTAAATAGGTGAGATAAAAGGTAGGTGCTCAGTAAACATCTGCTGAGTGAATAAGCAAATGAATAAAAGAATGCATAAAGAGAAGCTTATCCCAGCACGACCTGGGGCCAGCTATAGTGACTTGAGAAGATGTCTTTACAGCTTTGAGTCTCTAGTTCTTGTTCAAAAACTCAGACCTGTCGCTATACAAGTACAGATTAACCAGGACATGCAGAGGGAATGTCCTGCTTGACCATGTCTGTGTGTGCTGTCAATGCTGGCCATCTCTGACACCTGCCCCAACTGCCTCCGCCCTCGGTCTGAGACCAAAGAACTGGAAGGTGACTTTCAAAGAAAGAGGTCACACTAGAGAGCCAGAGGAGCACTGTGGCTCCTGCCACACATGGGGAAGGCCCACTGGCGTCCTCCTGACATCCTCCAGAGCCACGGCCAACGTGAAACCTGGACCCAGTTACTCATCGGCCCTGCCTTTCACTCAGTGCCCAGTGCAGCAGGGGATCGGAGCTGCCGGGGGGCTGCTGGAGGGACCAGGCTCCCGGAGGTTCTTGGGAAGGAATTTTCCCCCACTGGCTCTGGGCCAGAAGGCCTGGGAGAGAACAAGGGCAGACAAGATGATTGCAATGAGCAAGGAAGGAGAAAGAGAACTGAGTTGGGGAAGAAGTCTGATGCCCCCAAACCCAGGTGGTTCATGGGACCTGTTCACAAGGCCTGCTGTGGGGACAAACGCCAGCCCCTGCACCCCTCCCCGCAAGCTCTCCACCCCTATGCCCTGTGTGCCTGGCAGAGAAGAGCAGGACACAGGCAGCCAGACAGTCTGGAAAGGGGCCACCCAGGGTCCATACCTTGACATTCTCCTCCGTGAGGCCCTTCTCCACCGAGTCCGTCGCATTCTGCCGGATGCGATGCAGGAAGGCCTGGAGGAAGGAAGCAGGGAGAATTGAGGGTCCTGGCCAGCAAGCTCTGGGGAATGTACAAAAACAGGGTCTAGTGTTCAAATGCCAACTAGGACCTAAGAGGTGTCACGGTCCAGGAACACAGGCAGGGAGCAGGGAAGGGTCTACTCTGCCATTCAGTCAACAAGTGTCTACGGAGCATCTACTACGCCAGCCTGGGCAGAGGACAGTGCCTGAAGGAGGCGGACCCACGTCTCCTTCCTTACCCACAGGTCCCTGAGACTACCATTCACTCTGCTTTTCTTCTTTTAAAAATGATGACCTTGGCCCTCCCTGGTGGCACAAAGGGTTAATTAAAATAGCACTAAGAAGTTATCGCAGCCACTGCAGCACGTTAAGAGTTCAATCCCCAGCCAGGGAACTGACCCACCTGTCCCAGCAGACCTCTCCTGTCTCCCCGCTGCTCCCTTCAGCAGTGTGTTTCAGTTACATCCACCTGTTCTACTCCCCACTCTGTCTCTGGTGAAGCCCCACACCTCTGGCCTGTACCCCAGTTCTTGTATGCATAAATAATCTTTTTTTTAAAATGATTACCTCTAGATGGTAACATGTTCATAATGTTCAAAAATTTAAAAGAATATAAAACGTCTACCGGCCCCCAGCCACCAAGTTACTCCCACCCCTGTGGGAACCTCAGCTTCCAGCTTATTAATATCCATCCAGAGAATCTGGGTGCAAAAATAGACATGCACCAACATACACATACAGACAGACACATATTCTTATCTGCCCCTTCCACACACCGACACGTGCCCGAGGGCCCGGCCACGCCTGCTCTTCCCACCAGCGGCTGAGGGGGGCCTCTCCCCGGGGGCTCTAGCTCCGTGTGGCCGCCAGACCCAAGCGTGCAGGTGGCCCACAACTGTCCTGCCACTTCTTCCAGGGGCTCAGAACAAATAAATCATTTCTCTTCTCTGTGCCATGAAAGCCAAGAAAGGGGGAGCGGTGCTTGCCCATGGAGGGGCATGGCTGCTGGTCCCACCCCTCCCCCACACCCCTTCACCCCCGTGTGTCCAGGTGGGAGGGCACCCCAGATGTTCTGGGGTGTCTCTCCAAAGAAGCCTGATGTTGAGGTATTTTTAAAGCAAAGTCTCCATTTTTTAAATGTTGGCCACAGGGTACTCGAGGGGGACCGGATTTGAGAGGTCTGTGAAAGTGGGGGGCCCACTGGATAGGTGGCAGGGGGACTGGCCTGGGTGTGGGAGAGAGCCAGAAGGAGCGGAAGAGCTCCCCAGAAGGTCCAGGGGTGGGGGGCAGGAGGAAAAGTGACCCCAGGTTGACCTAGCAACAGCCATGCAGAGACCCCATAGAAAATGACCAGCGGGCATGCCGTGGCCACAGGGCCACCGTGAGCCGTGGTGGCCTGTCAGCGGCTGTCCCTGCCGCAGCTGACTGCAGCACAGGGGTGGAGGAGGGAGGGGACACTCTGTCCCTGTCACAGAACCCAGACACAAGTTAATTAAGCGCGTGTCTCATCCAAGCACGCTGTCTGGGGAGATCGCCGAGTGGCGGGGAGAGGAGGGAGCAGCTCAGGATGGAGGGAGGCCGGGGCGGCGGGCAGCAAGGAGTTCGGGCCGCCACGCACGGCTGTCATATCCTTTTCCATCACACAGAGGGACACCCACAGCCGTCACGGAGCCAGTCATCCAGACACAGGTCTCCTAGCAGGTGGCACACTGGCACCCCACAGCATGGGTGGTGGAAAGGAAAGTCACCCCGCCAACACGTCACCCCTGAAATCCAGGCTCTCATCAGCCCACCAGCATCTGCACCTGAAAGCCCAAAGGGCACCTCAAACTCAACTGGGCCCAACCTCCCTCCAAACCCACACCACCAAGCTCTGCCCAGCCTCATCTAACGGCGCCTCTGCCTTCGGGGGGCCGGGGGCACCAGTCACATACTCAGGCCAGCCACCCTAAATCACCCTCTTCCTCTGCTGCTCCATTTCCACCCTTCCAGGAATGCTATCAGGTTCACTGCCAACCCAGATTAAAATCCACTGTCCCACCTCCTCCATCACCCTCTGTCCCCCATCATCTCCTGCCTGGACTAATGCAGTCATGTCCTCTCTGCTGCCCTTGGTCCTCACCCTCCACATTCTTTCTACACACTCACACAGAAATGTCTTTAAACATTTAAATCAGATCCTGCCAAACCAATGCTTAAAACTCTCTGTGGTTTCCACTTTAGAGAAAGTCTAAATCCTTCTACAACCTTTAAGTTCCCTGTGACCTCATCCAAATTAACCTCTGTGAACTCGCTCCGCAGCACTCCACCCCCAACGCACCAATAACCTCCCTCATACCTTTATTCCTTATGCCTACAACCTGCCAAGCACATTCCTGCCACAGGATCTTTGCACCTGCTGTTCCTGCTAGCAGGAACCACCCCCCCCACACACACACACACCGCCCCAGCTCTGCCCTCGGCCAGCTCCTTCTTATCAGGCCTTAGCTCAAACGTCATCTCCTCCAAGAGGCCTTCCCTGTCTTCATGCGCTGGCCACTTTTACAGCTTACATTATGAGCCCATTTCACAGACAAAAAGCCTGGAGTTAAGCAGTCCATACCAGATCCTGAGAAAAAGTCAAATATAAGATGGGCTCCCAGTCCAATTACAGAGGCTAAGTTTGAAGCTGATGTCTGGACTTAAAATGCAGGTTCCCCCAAAACGCAGGTCCTCCTTCTCTGGCTAGTGGACCTCTCCCTGATTGTCAGTTTACCACTACTGCTCAGCAGTACTGTCCTGCTTTCAGCATGCAACAGGACAAAGTGAAGGAAGCACCATGAGGACAAGGACCCTGCTCTCTCGTTTCCCCTGGAGTAGTGGCTGGCACACAGCAGACATGTGGGAAACAGGGCAGGGAGGGAATGCACCTGACATGCAGCAGCACGCCTGCCAACACTCTGAAAAGGATGGGGGCAGAGCAGGCCAGGGACATACACTCCCAGAGGGTGCTTCAACAGGGTTTGGGTGCTGCCAGGAAGCCCAGCCTCCAGCCCCCCACCCCCACCCCACCCCAGTCCGGGGGACAGCAAAGAGGCCTCACCAGGAAGAGCAGGAAGCTGGGAGTACACTCAGCTGGCCTAGATCGGGCCTTCCTGTCCCGCTTACTCCACACAAGCCAGGCCACCACTATTGTGCGGGGGACAATGGGAGCTCGGGCCACCCACAGAGAGGAACCTCGACAGGCCAGAGTGAGGGGCACCGGGGGAGCTCGTGACCTGGAAAGAATGGGCAGGCAGGGACTCTGGGCCAGGCCTCCCGCTGCCCAAGGCACGACCAGCTTTACGGCGCCAGGGCCCTCTGAGCAGACGGACTGGCTAAAGAGACCCGGGGGTGGCGGGCCCCCGCCCGAGCCTGGCAGCTCCAACACTCGGCCAAAAGCAGCTCTCGTCTTGGAAACCTCCCTTGGAGACAAGGCCGTTCTCAGGATTTCGAGGGAGGCCTGGCTCTCCCCGGGTTCAGAATCTTTGTCCCGCGTCCAGGCTGCACCCCTGCCGGGCCACTTCCCTCGGCATCTGCCCAAAGTCCCCCTCTTCTTTTGAGGAGGAGGAGGAGGAGGATGAAACACGTCAAGGAGCCAGAAAAGGATCAGGGAAAATGTAACAGACACCCACAAATGCATCCGCAGCCAGCTTCGGCAAATCTTCACTTGCCAAGTTCGCTTTAAAGCACTTCCAAGAAGGAATGTGTGCAGTCGGGGAGGGGTGGACCGGGAAGGGGCGCAGGGGCCCCGGGGGGCTGGACCGCTCCGCCTCGCCATCTGAGGGGAGACAGAGCCTCCCCGGTGCGCACCTCAGGTCGGTCCACTAGCCCCTGGCCACGTGACGACCAGGACTCACCTAGGAAGGGGAAGAAAAGGCAGCGCGACGGCAAGAGGCGCGTCACCTGTGCACCGACATGCCCACAGGCACCCACAGCCCAGAAAACGGGGCCCCCACCCCACACGTGCCTCGGCCGGCGACTGCGCACGCGTGCACTGAGAAGTCAGGAGCACCATCTCGCCTGTTTACAGTATTTCTGTTACCCACGTGCCTCCAGCAACTTTCTCACTCGGCCTCACATCTTGCGCGTTTATGCCCATCGACAGGCGCGCCTCCAGCACCTGGCGAACAGACCCTCGCTGCTGGGGTGCACGCCGGGGCCACGTCCAGTCCCCAGCTCCCCACCCGGCCTGAGCGCTCCCCTCACATGCAGGGTGGGCTGAGAGGGCAGAAACAGAGGCGCCTGCTCAAGGCCGCATCTGTCCGGGTGCACAGGGATTAGGCTCCGGACCACCAGGCTCTGCCCGCCGGCACCTCCCCTTCCCCGCCTCGCTCCCCACCTCCACCCCTCCCGGATAACCCACCTGCCCGGACTCAGGCCCGGATCTGCTTTGGGGAAGCCCCACATGAGGGCCTCAAGGTGTCCACCTCATGGCTGAGTGCTCAAAACGAGCAGGACGCGGCCACTTTCAGGCCACAGGACTGAAGCTGCTCCGGTGCCACCAAGAACAGGTGCACTGGGGCCCAGGTGTGCCAGGTCCTATGTACACCTAGGAGAGCAAAGGTGGGCCGCAGGGCAGAGACAATGTCGATCTGACGAGTGGGTACCTAGAGGCCACCAAAGCCACCCAGCCGGCAGTGGGTGAGAGCTCCCACTTCTTCTCTCCAGCCCGAGCAAGTCCCTTGTTCTCCTCCCTTCTTGCAACAAGCACTGCTGAGACCTGCAAAGGCCCCTCATAGATTCATTTCCACACCAAACAATCAGCTTTCGGGTCCCTTTCTACAGAAGAGAAAAGCTGAGGACCAGAGGTTAAGACACCCAGTGGGTTCATGTGGGCGGAAACCAGCCGTATCAAGCCTGAGAGCACAGGGCTGTCTGGCTCCTGCTTGCTACTGGGGGGAGGAGATCGAGACTCTGCTCACTGGGCGCCTGACCTGTGTAGCCACAGTCCCCACAGTCTGGGCTGAGCAGGA